CCACACTTGGAATATTGCACACAGTTCTGGTCACCACACTACCAGAAGGATGTGGATGCTTTAGAGAGGGTACAGAAAAGGTTTACCAAGATGTTGCCTAGTATGGGGGATTTTAGCTATGAAGAAAGGTTGGATAGACTGGGTTTGTTTTCACTGGAATGCAGGGGGTTGAGGGGCAACCTGAAAGAAGTTTATAAGATTGCGAATGGCATGGATGGAGTGGAAAGTGGATTTTTCCAGGGTGGATGAGTCAAGTATTAGGGGACACAGGTTCAAGGTGTGAGGGGGAGATGTTTAAAAGAGATGTGCAAGGCAAATTTTTCACACAAAGGGTGGTGAGTGCCTGGAACACATCGCCAGAGGCTGTGGTGGAAGACAATAGCAGCATTCAAGAAGCACTTGGATGAATACATGAATAGGAAGGGAATGGGGGATACGGATCCTGTCAGTGAAGACAGTTTTAGTATGGAAGGGCAAAATATGTCAGCGCAGGCTTGGAAGACCAAAAGGGCCTGTCCTGTGCTGTATTGTTCTTTGATATCATTTCAGTGGCTAACTGAAACAACAGCCACTGTCATTGCTTAAAACCTAAACAGGAAAACTTGTAGAAGTAGCTTCCCCTTTGTACAAAGAGGAATACTATACTTGCAACAAGTCAATCAGCTGGTGTACAACCAGTTGAGTTCACCGCTCAGTGTGTGAATGGTTTAAAGTTACAGTTACATTTCTTTTTAAAAGTCTTCTAAATAACTAACATTAAATTTAGTATTGGGAGGGCTGGATTCTGTAGTCTTTTTTTTTTCCCCCTGAAAAAAATTTACTCCAGAGAACAGAGCAAAACTGTGGAACCTGGACACATGGCACTGCATGTGACAAACAAAAAATAAGCTCATGGAGAAGTAGGAATAACTGGCCTTATGACACTCATTTAAAGGCTATAGTTGTTGTTGCTTATAATGTAAAGGGAAAACTCTAGGATAATTAAGTTAGACAAATGTGTACGGCAATGAAGCTTACATCTTCGCCAAAACTAACATTCTTTTTAACTCATCTGTCTCAATTGTTTGTTCTCTTGTTGACTGATCTTTGAAACTTTGAAAACCCACTGTTCAGTTGCAATCACTCTTGTCTCAGACAGATCACTGATTCGAGTACATAGTCTAAGCTGTCAGTTAAATGCAGGAAGTGTTGCACAGCTACGGGAGAGATGTTAAACCAACACCCAAGAATTTCATGGAACTGCACAATGATCAGGGAGGCCTTTCTCCTGGTACCCTGCTTAATAGTTACATCAACCAGCAACATAAAAACAGATTAGCTGACCATTTAATATTGACAGATAGTGGGACCTTGCATATTTAACAAGTGATCACACCTCATAAGTAATTCATTAGCAGTTATGTTTTAGCAAAATGCCCTAATGGGCTGGATTTTGTGGAGGTGTGGGTGTTGACAGCGCTCATGACTTTTCAGAAGGTGACTGCAACTTCAGGATGTTGGGCATGCCGAGATTAGCACGACAATCCTAAAGTTGCAGTGTTTCAGGATTCTGCCACAGAGCTGGCAATCACCAAATTCAATGAGAATTTCAACTTCCCAGCTCCCACCCCAATGTTAGGGAGACCGTATTCAGTCAGGTTTAACCAAGTTTTTAAAAAGACTGCAATTTAAAGGATGGCCGAGGTCTCGTGGTCATGTCACTGGACTAGTAATCCAGAACTCCAGGCAAATGCTCTGGGGACAGGGATCCAAATCCCATCATGATAATGGTGAAATTTGAATTCAATAAAAATCTGTAATAGAGAAAGTGATCTATCTGGTTTAGGGAAGGAAATCTGCCATCCTTACCCAGTCTGACCAACATTTGACTCCAGATCCACAACAATATGGTTAACTCTTAACCGCCCTCTAGGCAATTGGGCCAGGCCAGTGATGCCCACATCCCATGACCAAATTTTAAAAAAAAAAGCAGAACTGGCCCTGAAAAAATTCACAATCCTGAAGTTCCACTCAATGATTAATTAGTAATTTAAACTAATCTTCAAAATAAAAAAGATTTTTCAGAATACTTTAGCTTCTACCTTCAACTTCTATGTCCCAATTTTCATTTTAATCTGTCTGAAAACAAAAGTGATTTTATTCTAATGCTTTTTGACTCCTGTGTGTGTCTGTGAACTCGTTTGATGTGAGTGGCTGCTTGGCCAGACTAACAACATCAATGGAGTTCTATGCTGGGAATCTCCAGATCAGTTGCAGCATCACACTAAAGATCATCTGAGCACTCAGCCAGACCAACTTGAAGGTGAGCAGCAAGTATCCCTTCACAGCGGACTCAGAATCCAGTCCACATTGTGAAATTCAAATATTCCATTCCTTTGCCCCTCACTTTGGTATGGCCAGCAGATATTTACCGAGGAATTGAACAATTTCATAACAATGTGCTGGAGGTCATTTAAGGAGCCAGCACAATGACATTGAAAGGAAAACCATTCAACACTTGTTTGTTGAAGGTCTGACAAGGTATACTTATGAGTAAACTGCCTCAAATAGATTTGCCCCTTTCACAACAATGTGGCTCAACTTATTTAATAAAGAGAGTGCTGTTCTATCACAAATGTACTTCCCCCATTTCCCAAAGTAATCTTGTTTCTGGTCTCCGAGCACAATTGTGCTATTTTGTGCAGAATTGTGGGCATGTTTATGTTATAAGCCTGCAATGATGAATCTGAGGTAGTATCAACCCTCTTCTTCAATCACATATGAGGACTTCAGATATGTGAAAGATACATCCCATCTACACCAGATGGATATAAACCCAGGTTTAAGGAACTGTCCAACCGAACAGTGCCAAAGTCCCCATTATAAAGTAATTAAAACAAAAATTTCACCCAATGATTGTCAATTCTGATCATATCCTTACCTTCGAATAGAAGTATCTGCAAACAGCTTCTTGAGCCCAGGGCTGGAAGTAGAACTCTGCTCTGCGCTCCTCCTCTGGGTTTCCTACCACATCAGTCATAGACTACAAATACAAAATATCAAACACGTGACTAGAATAGACAGATGCAACTTAAAAATAAATGGTGTCGAAGGTTCCAAGATTCTACGCAAGTTACTGGGGTAGGCCAAGTTCTCTCGCTATCGAAACGTCAGGGGATAGATGGGTTTTTGGCAATTGCATTTTGCATTTCATTAGCGCATCACAGAAACACAGGATCAGCGATGCAGCTGAACACCACCTTTCTGCCACTTCATGCTGTAGAACAAAGTGCAAATATTGCAATGTCAAGTGGCTGTAAAAAGTGGAACAAATGCTTAAATTTGTTTTGGGGAGTAATGCAGAAAGCATGGGGCTTTGCGAAGATAAATACAGGTGTGTCTTTTCTAAGGATATGATTAACTTGTCTTATGTCAATGTACATAGGAACAAAGAAACAGTAGTAGCCAATCAGTCCTTCCAGCTTGCTGCACTATTCAATTTGATCACAATAGTTTTGTGCCATAAAGGTAGGTCGCTACTGCAACATTGGAAGATTTGAGACCTCATATTCCACACGTTTTATCTATTTATCCATAAAAACCAAATGCTTGCTTTTGCTGTTCGTTTCCTGAATGCTGTACTGGTTTTTAGGTGCTCAATGAGATCCGATGCTTTCCAAGTCAAATGTGTTCATGTAGAGTAGCTTGGCCCATTAATAGCAAGTGTTTTTATATCAGAAAGACTTACTAAAGCATTAAGAATGTAGTGGAATCATGAGCAGGTCAGACCAAAAAAATACAGCAATTTGCTTCCATGCGCTGTCTTCCTTCCTTGTATCAGCCTATAAATGTCTAGACTTCCATTTAAGTTTCACAGCTTCCAGAATGGGAGAAGAATTCAAGACCCTTGGCTTTCTTGCTTAAGATTGTATCCATTTACACAGCTTGGTGACTACCAGTCTCAGTTTTACTGCTAGCTGTACAGTGGTAGCGCAAACTACTGTAGCAATTACTTCCTAATATTAGGAAGTATCTCCTAAAGCGGCTCTGCAATATAATGCCTAAAAAAGCGGTTTCACCCTGGGTGAAACTGGCAGCGGCAAATACAAGCAGACTGGAGGTCACAACCACACCTTTGACGTGATATAAAATGCCCCATGTCACAGGCTACCATTGTATTTCAGCTACAGGGAGGTTGGGAGCTCAGTCTCTCACACAGACCATGAATGCATTTTTGATGTCACTGGCTTGTATGAAACCTTCTGGTCAGGTAGAACAGAAAAAACTTTACAGAGTTGCCACAGATGCCATGAACTTGGCTTGAAGCATAACAAATGGCTCAAGTTTGGAGCATCCAAGGCATTGTTCTACCACGAGAGAGGGATAAAAAGAGTAAGGAAAGAAAAGGTAAAGAAAGAAGTCCTCCATGAACGTGGGCAATCAGGAGCAATTCTTCATGGTCTGAAACACAAAGTCAAGTGACTGACCGATATCCAGCTAGTATTCAAAATGCCCCAGCTGAATAATAGGCAACAGGAACAAATGAATCATGTGCATCTCTCGTATCCAACAAATCAAGACCAATCCTAGCCATGGCATTTGGGTCAAGGTGCCAGGTTTTACTTTTGCTTTGCGCAGTTGAGTTCAAACAAAGGGAAAGGTTTCCATTTCTGTTGGAGCAGAATTCATTTGCAAAATTTTAAACCAAAAAATCTCATTAACAGCAGGGAATTGTTGAAGGACTTCTCTTCTATACAAACAAAAATAACACATTTGGGCACGGACAGAGAAAGTAGAACAGGATTTGATAATTAGTGGAAAGGATGCAAAAACGTACAGGGAACAGGGCAGTTGTGTAGAAAATGCAGATCAATATAGATACGAGAAGTTTAAAGAAAGGGTGTTTGGGAGACGGGGGAAGTGGAAGAGAACAGTGGCGGGGCTGTGGGGAATGGAATTGGGGATAGAGAATGGAAATACACCCTTAACAATTAACTCTCAATGGAGTTTGGCTATGGGTGCAGATAGGTAGAAGTTTAACATCAAAAAGACTAATGGAATCCTAGAGTTCATTTATATGGCAAAGAATACAAAGGCAAGGTGGTAATCAATCGTTTGCTTAGGCTAAAGTTAGAGTACTGTGGGCAAATTCATGGAAAGGACATGAGAACCTTGCAAATGGTACAACTCAGATTTACAAGGATGAGCAGAAATAATTACTGAGAGACATGAAAAGCTCCACGAGTTCACTGAAAAGACAAAGCCATGGGAGGAACAAATAGATGTGCTCAAAATGTTAGGAATATTTGAAGACGTAAAGATTGTTTCCACTGATCAGATTATGGCATATGTTCAGGACCAGTACAGGTATAAACAGGGGGGTTACAATTATCCCTTCCCACATGCAAGGTTATCAGAATGTGGAATACATTATTGCAACTGGGAGCTATTAAAGCCATGTCAATCATAGTTCTGAAGATGGAATATAGTCAGAGGAAAAGTATGAAGGCTGCAGGTAGAGCAGGGCAATGAGATTGGATAGCTCCAGTACAGAACTCGTGCAGACAGTGGGATAAAATGAAGTCCTGTGGTGAAATTTCTATACATTTAAGTCGTTTCAGATTTCTTTAAACATCTCGATGTCATAATCCTAATGTAGGACTTGGAACCATGGAAATATATGGTTGCTGCTATTCAATTCACTCTTGTAGACAATGAGGGAAAAGCTAACCTTGCTGCTCACGATCTGTTGAACCTGCAGGAGGTGCAAAAACACTGCAACCAATGACTGGATTTGGATCTTGGCCTGTCATTTGTGTACCCTTACCACACATCATGCTCACCAAATTTACAGTCAAACCTCTTGTTGCATCATCTACGAAAATGTGTTCTCGCATTTGTTAGCTGTCAAACTGGTTGTAAAGAATGAATGAACGAATACGTGCATTATTTAGCGCCTTTCCTGACCTCTCAATGTTCCCAAATGCTTGCAGCCCAATTAACTACTTTTGAGGTGCAGTACTGGTTACAATTATAAGCAAACGCAGCAGCCAATTTGCGCGTAGCAAGAAGCAAAAGCAGCCATGAGATAATGATCAAAATATTTTTTCTCAAAGCCCTGTTGGTTAAGGGATTAGTATTAGCTAGAACACCAGCAGAATACCACTGCTCATCTCCCCAGTGTTATTGGTGGACAAACAATCTACTCACAAAGCATTTCTGTCTGTAGGATCTGGATGTGCAGCTGGAATTGCACACCTACTTTCAAGTCATACAATGCATCTTAACACTTAGTTTCCTACATTCACATCTATAATGGAAATCACCCACATAAACACATCCACTTGGCAGTGGGACCACTACAGGTCTTGGAATAAAGAGGTGAAATGGGAACAAAATACATCTGTATGGGGATCTCCAGCACAAATGCGGACATCAGAATTAAAATGACAAGTTTTACAGGAAGTACTTAGAGACACAGGTCAGATTAACATTCTGTTGAACTACCATTACCAGGAATGTCCTTTAAATGCATTAACTGCAGCCTGCTGATATTGATAACTGTTGAGCTTACTATGGTGAAATGGGTTGAAGAGTCCAAGACAGCATAGTTTGTCAATGGCCCAGAGAAAGGAAGGGCTTGGCAGATTGAATGACATTTTTCCGTCCTAGGCTTTTATTTTGACAGCAATTAAAAACAAGATGCAACACTCAGCAAGAATGCAGCTTTTTTAGATTTAAAATAAAGCCAGTGTTTATTTTAAAAAAAAGCTCAATCAGGAGAATTAATGTACTGCAGTTCAAAATAAGGTAGCAATGTCACTTCTGTAGGTCAACTACCAATTCAATTTGTGAGCAGGTCAACAGTGTGGTTGAAGTCTTGCTTTCTGAAGGATTACTCAGCCCCAATACAACGTAGCAGATAATACCAGCATGACTCAGCAGAAAGGCAGGTTGTTTGTTACAAACAATTAAGATAAAGGTATAAACTTGGTTTAAAACGCCAGGCTGGACAGGGAGATCAGAAACTTTTGCTGGGTTGAAACCACATGCAACAATCTCTGTCCCTTTATCCAGAAAGGCACTCCAGCACCAGATTCTTCAATGAAATATAATTCACCCCAGTCACTAGGCAAAAAAGGAATACACACTAACCCAGCTACTATGGCAATTTATAAAGATAAAGGAACATGCCCAAGAGAAACAAGAATAACCAGCAGGATTGTCATAGGAACATACTTAATCATCAATACCTCACAATAAAACATGTGGCTATGGATGCGATTCTACATTAGGCTTTCTCTCTCTCTCTCGTGCTACACTTCAATATTGTGCACACTAAACTAAGTTTTCTATATACTGTGCCAGTAAACAACAATGTCTGTTATAATAATAAAAATTAAAAACATAAAGCCTGTTATTCAACAATTCACCACAGGCAGTTCAGATTAGAAATACAGTATTTTGGACAAATAATCAGATATCAAATCTCCTTCTGCACAGTACATTCCTGTTATAACAGGTTAAGGACTTTTGAATAATGCTTCTTATAACTCAGAAGTGAGAGACTTGTGAAATAAACATTACTCCAATAAATGCCCATGTCTGAAGTAACAATTTCACTAACTAGTTTTGCTGAAAAGTACAGTGCACAGTGTTGCATTGTCAAAAGACTGCACAGCCAAAGAGGAGCGAAACATGATTTCACAACATGAAATACATACCTTCAGGTCACGGCACTGGGACTGCAACCAGTCATTGATGAAGCCCTGTGGATCTCTGGCAAAACTTAACATGAACTCCCTCTGTGTCTTGAGCTGGTTAATGGTCTCTATTGTTTCATGGATCTGTGAAAGTAAAGCAGCAGGGTTATACAGTTTATACTTGGGAGCTGCAAAGAACCTCAAACCCAAGCTTTCTGATGCAGATGGGAGGTTGCAACTAGCTGATGGTCTGGGATGGTAGGGGCTGCAGGTTTGGAAGATGATGTCACAGGAGACTTGGTAAGCTGCTGCAGTGCATCTTGTCAGTGGAACACACTGCTGCTACCTCAATGGTGAAGAGAGTGAATGTTGAAAGTGGCAGATGTGCCAATCAAGCAGGCTGCTTTGTCCTGGATGGTGTCTAGCTTCTTGAACGTTGTTGGAGCTGCACCCATCCAGGCAAGTGGGGAGTATTCCATCGCACTCCTGACTTGTGCACTGTAGATGGTAGAAAGGCTTTGGGGAGTCACGTGGCGAGCTACTCACCACAGAATTCTCAATCACTGATGTGCTCGTCTAGCTACAGTATTTATGTGGCCAATCCGGTTTAGTTTCTGGTCACTAGCAAACTCCAAGTTATTGATGGTGGTGGATTCAGTAAAAGTAATGCCGTTAAACATCAAAAGGAGATAGTTAGATTCTCTTTTGTTGGTGATGGTCATTGCCTAGCACTTGTGTGGCATGAATATTACTTGCCACTTCTCAGCCTGAATTCTGTCCATTTCTTGCTGCATACAGGCAGACACTGTTTCAGAAACTGAACTGCAGTAAACAGTACTGCACACTGTGCAAGCATAAGAATGTGTGAAACAGAAGGAGAAGAGATGGCCTTTCAGGTTGCTTCAATATTCAATACAAACATGGCTGATCTTTAGCATCATTTCTACTTTCCTGCCTGTGCCCCATACCCCTCAATTCCCCAAGACACCAAAAATCTGCTTGTCATGGCCTTGAATATATTCAACAATGAGATAATTACAACCTCATAAAAGCTCAATAAACAGATTTTCAATGTGCTCAAATAACCATCCAACAGCCTCCATCTCTATGTACTGCAACTCAATTGAACAATTAACAAGTGAGACCAAAACTGTGCACATAACTCCAATTAGGTCTCATCAAAGCTCTAAGATTTTAGCAAAACTTCCTTATTCTTGTACTCCAACCCCTTCACACTATTTACCTTCCTAATTGCTTGCACTTCCTGAATGCTAATTTTCTGTATTTCTTACACCCTAGTCCCTCTGAACATCAAGGTTTACAAACTTCACGCCTTTTAGAAAATAATTTCTCTCTATTCTCACAACCAGCGTAATCTCACACTTCCTTATATTATGCTCCATCTGTCATTATCCTGCTCATTCACTTGACCAGTCTAGCCCTTTGCAGACTGCGTTCTCCTCACAGCTAACATTGCCAGCAAACTTTGATGACAACACACAGTAATGTGTCTAAGTTATTAACATAGATTAGTAATAGCTGAGCTCTCAGCACCAATCCTTGCAGCACTCCACAATTCACAATCTGCCAATATGAAAATGCCCCATTTATCCCTACTCATTGCTTTCCATCTACTAACCAATCCTTATCCATAGTGATATATCAACCCCAACTCCATGAGCTTGTCTCTTAACTTTTGTGTGGCACCTTATTGAATGCCTTTTGGGAATACAAATAAATTACATTTGCTAGTTCCCCTTTATCTGCTCTACTAGTTACATTCTCAAAAAAAAACAATTTGTAAACATATTCTCCCTTCCATAAAACCATGTTGACTTGGTCTGAACATACCACCAACAGACTTCCCTGCTTCTGACCATATAATGGAGGCAAAGTCATTGACAAAGCAGCTGAAGATGACTGAGCCTAGGTCACTACATGAAGAAACTCTCCTCTACGCCTCAAGCAGGAGGCCCGGGTTCAAGTCTTACCTGCTCCAAAGGCATGCATTCACATCTCTGAACAGATTGATTAGAAAATATGTACCTGAAGGAAGACCTGCAGCAAAGTCCTGGGGCTGAGACGATTGGCCTCCAAAAACCACAACCATCTTCCTCTATGCTGGGAATGACTCCAATCAGTAGAGAGCTTCCCCTCAATTCTCACTGACATTATAACGCCACACAATTTACCAACTATTTGAGCAATGGACTAACGTGCCCTCAACTTGTGAGAAACCACTGAACTGCTTTTTAAAGAAGTTTAGTGCATTGGCAGCAAAAATCCGTTCTGCCCACCAACCAGAGAATAAAAATTTTGTTTGAATCTCTAGCTTTGCACTGTCTGACTAGTTTGAATCCACAATCTCCAATCCTTTCACTTTTTAAGACTTCAATAAAAGGTTATCTGACTAGAGGGAAACCTAGTAAGAGTCTTCACTCTTGATTTAGGTCAGGCATCAATACCAAATTTAAACTAACACTGCCAGTGTAAAGTCAAAGACCTAAACTACAAAAGTTAGAATGTTCCAAGCTAACCTTATTATCGAGAGCAGCAATTTCCTGCTGGCTCGCAGTAGAAAGGAGAAATGAATTCATTTGAGTCTTTAGTGTGTCATCCACTTCAACATCAATGTCATAACATGCAGTCTTCTTCTGGTCATTTGGGTCCACACTGAAACATTAACAAGAGATGACGTGATGTTGTAGAATACAATGGCATGCATTAAAGCTGCAGTGATATTAGTTCACCAATGCATTAGTTTGGCTGGAATACAGATATCTGTTAAAATACAAGCAGGTCACCACGTTGACAGCAACGTGTTATGCAGTTATAGGCTACATATCTGCAATAGTGAGTCTCCAGACAAAGTTCCTGCTTTTGAACTTGTGCTTCCTACAATGTCAATATCTCACTGTCGGACTGCATCGGAGACAGGTAGAACAGCACAAGGGGGATATCTTGTAAAGCCTTGAACCAGTTAAAATACACTGCACGTCAACCCGTTCAGCAAAATGAAAACCCAAACAGATTAGTAGAGTCGTAGAGATCTACGGCACAGTAAAAGGCCTTTTGGCCCATCATGCCTGTGCCAGTCCAAAGCAACCACCTAACCATCCTAATAATTTTTTCCAGCACTTGGCCCACAGTATTGTAGGCCTAGGCATTGCAAGTGTTCATCGAAATACTTAAACGATATGAGGGTTTCTGCCTCTACCACCCTTACAGGCAGCAAGTTCCAAATTCCCACCACCCTCTGGATAAAAAAGATTTTCCTTAAATCTCCTCTAAACCTTTTGCCCCTTTGCCTTAAATTGACGCCCCCTGGTCATTGATCCCTTCATCAAGGGGAAAGTTTCTGTCTACCCTATATATGCCCTTTATAATTTTACACATCTCAATCACGTCCCCTCTTAATCTCCTCTGCTTTAAGGAAAACAAGCCCAGTCTGTCCAATCTCTCTTCATAACTGAAACTCTCCAGCCCAAGGAATATCCTGGCAAATCTCCTCTGCACCCTCTCCAGTGCTATCATATTCGTCCTATAATGTGGATTCCAGAAATGCACAAAATCCTCCAGCTGTGGCCGAACTAACATTTTATACAGTTCCAGTATCACCTCACTGCTCTTAAATTCTACGCCTCAACTAATAAAGGCAAGTATACCTTCTTAACCACTTTATCTACATGTCCTGATACTTTAAGGGACTGCTGTTCATGCACACCAAGGTCCCACTGGTCATCATGTATTCCCATACCTTGTTTATCCTGCCCAAGTGCATCACCTCACATTTATTCGGCATGGAGTGTATTTTGAGAAACATTTTAAAAAATTGTCAGAACTTAATATTCAGAAGCTTTTTCATGAATGGACCAAGTTCAAATTCTGCACCTGATAATATGGTTGATGATGATGGGCTCAGGTGGCATCAGCAGAGCATGCAGTCTCTGAGGAATTTCTGAGAACTTCATTCGTTGACACTCAAAGATCTACAAAATACAGAAAGCATGTTCAATAAAACCAGGACCCAGTTTTCTTTTAAAAATAACAACCACATATACCATCGGCAGCCAGGCTCAGTTGATAGCACATTCATCTCTCAATCACAAGGTTCCAAGTTTAAGTTCCACTTCAGGGCTTAAGCATTAAAACAAAACAAGGCTGGCATTTTAGTGCAGTTCTGAGGTGTTATTGGACAGTCAGAGGTGCCATCTTTCAGGCATGTTAAACCAAGGCACTCATTTGTCTGCTAGAAGATCCTGGGGCACTTTCAAGGAAGAGGAGAATTATCCCTGGTGTCTTAGCCAATACTTATCCCTAAATCTACAAGATGATTATATAGTCATTATTACATTGCTGTGTATGGGTGCTTGTTGAGTGTGAATCAACAGTCGCATTTCATACATTACAAGTGAGTATCCTTTAAAACTGGCTGTAGCAGGCTTTGAGATGGTCAGTGGTCAAGAAAAGCATTATATAAATGCAAGTCCTTCTTTTTAAAAAAAATGCCAACTATAATTCCAAACAAAACATTAGTGGACAAAGCCTCACACTGTGATGTAGGAACGCAGATGCAGTCAGAAATCTGAGCAGCTTTTGCATGTCCACATCTAAATCAGGACTCAGGTTGAGCCCTACCTCAAAGGTCATGAACTTTCAAAAAAATTAACTCATTTCATATATTAACACTAGCCCACATAACGGCCTCAGCACTCCAAAAAGGAATTCATTATAGCAATTACAGATACTAAGCATTCATTTTTATCTTATGGCTCATCAAATATGAAAGAAAAAGATAGGGCTAAACCCACAGCTCTATGGATGACAAAAGTAGTAGAAATTATGATAAAGAAAAGTTGAGAACCAGGCTAAGTAAAGACGGCTCAGCTGGGTAGTTAAAACTCATGTAAGAGAAGCAAACAGGGAGTATGAAAAGAAACTGGTATCTAACATAAAAGGGGAGTCCTGAAGTCTTTGATAGGCATAAAACTGGTAAAGTGGGGAGTGGGACTGATTAGGGACCAAAAAACGACATTTACACATGGCAGCAAGGGCATGGCTGAGCAATTAACAAATATTTTACACCTGTCTTTACTAAGGAAGAAAATGCTACCCAGTATGTGGTGAAAGATGAGAAAATTCAGTTAGTAGAAGGGTTAAAAATTGATAAAGAGGATATTGTATCAGCTGCCTGTACTCAAAAGTTAACAAGACACCAGGACATCCAAGGATATTTAAGGTTGTGAATGGAACTTGCAGAAGCACCAGCTGTATTCTTTCAGTTTTTCTTAAGACTCAGGTGGTGCCAGAGGTCTGGAGAACTAAAAATTTCTTGTTCAAAGAAGGATATAAGGAAAAGCCTAGCTACTACAGGGCAGTCAGTTTAACTTTGGCAGTGGGGGAAACTTATGAGAATCAATAATTTGGGACAAAAAAGTCACATGGACAAACGTGGGTTAATAATTGAAAATCATGCTAATTGAACGTGGAGATTTTTTGAAGAGGTAACAGACAGTTGAAGAAGGTAATGATGTATATGGGTTTTGAAAAGGCATTTGATACAGTGTTACAAAATAGACAAAGAAAATCAGAGTGGATGAAAAAAAGTAATTGTAGCAACATGGTACAACATTGAGTGACAGGAAACAGTCAGTCAGTCAGTCACATTTATGGATGTTTTTCAGGCTGGAGGGAGGCTTGTAGTGGAGTTCCCCAGGGGTCACTATTGGGACTCTTTTTTTTTTGATACAGATTAGTGATTCAGATTTTGGTGTACAGGGCACAGTTTTAAAATTTGCAAATGACACAAAACTTGGAACATTGTAGACTGTGAGGAGGTAGTACAGAACATCAAAAAGTATTTGAATGAGCATGTAAAGTGTCATAGCATTCAAAGCTACAAGCCAAGTGCTTGAAAGTGGGACCAGTGCAGATTTAGAGTAATTTTGGCAGTTCAGACTTGATGGACCAAAGTGTCTCTTCTGTATTGTATGATTCTGTAATTACTTGGAAAATACTTTTCCATGCAACAAATGATTAGGAAATGGAATGCACTGCCTGAAAGTGCAGTAGAAACTGACAAAAGGGAATTAAACAATTATTTGAAAGGGGCTGTGGGGCGCAGAGGTACAGAGAACAGACAGGAGGATGGCACTAAGTGAGATGCTCATTTGGAACGGAGTGGGCACAACGGGCCCTGCTGCACCGTAGGAATTCTGAGACTCGGGAATGCCTATATAACATTCTGCCACATGAACTGCAAAACAAGATCTCCAAAGATTTTTCAAAAACCTGAATTATTACATTTCAAGTGGTTCTGTATTTTGATAGAGTACTTTCTAAAGTATTTCCATGTTGAACATATCAGTACCCAAATCAGTTTAAGACACATCTATTAGATAGACTGAGTAACCATGCGGTCACTAGCACTTTAGTGATGTGTGATAATGGCAGTAAGTGTCGAAACCATGTCCACCTAGATTGTGTAAAGGGCGAAGTGGCGGTGTTACCAATTCTTGAGACTCGGCCAGCGCAAGATTTTTGTTGGTGGAATAGTGGGAGCAACAGGGATCATGAATCAAGAATGCTCAAAATATTGCTGCATATAATTGCCATGTTTACCCTAACGCCTTAGTACCAAATGGGAAAACAACCAGGCAGCAATACTTCATTCTAAAGGCAAGCAACTTTGTGTGCTCTCAACACCTAAACTATGGCTAAGATAGTAATCTACCTGAATTATAAGCAACAAGTTTCTGACAATGTCAAACTATCACTCTAATCAGTCTGCTGGGAAGATGGCCAGTCCTTCCAGCAATGATGCCAGGTGCTAAATTTACACAGGCATGATGTTTGCAATGCGCAATTGTTAAGACCACAGAAATGACAAGGAATACTGCTCTTTTTGAATCAGAAGGAAGGAGGTGCCTTAGCTCCCAAAAGCTCTGTAAAGACAGCCAATTGCCCTGGGTGATGTCATTTACAATGAGTGGCTGAAGTGACTTGAGCTTTACTCCAGGTGTTGTGCACAATGAATACAGCTGCCACGCTTACACACACAACCACAAATAAGGGCTGAATGTAGAAATGGAAAAGAATATCAATATTAACTAGTTTGAACTACCAATGTCAATCAATGCTAACATCTCATTGTGCATGATTGCCAACAATCAGCTGGACACTATGGGACTGTACAGGTAGGGAAAGATGGCATTACAAAGGTTTCACACAGAAGGATGTGGAAGAAGTGCAGGGGGACCGTGACAGGATAACATCAGTAGAGTTTTGGGTGAGCTGAAGTTTATGGAAAATGTAAGATTTTAACAAGAGAAATAATCAGAAATCTAAAAATGAGTGGTGTTCCACAGTGAAAGAGAACTCTAACCAAGCTAAGTCTTAGAAAATACCAATCTCAAAAAATTACCAATGAGTATTTTTAGGTCATATATATAAAGCGCATGCCAAGCAGATTGGCATTTACAAAGATTAGACCCAGGAGTGGTTATCTGGCAAGTGGAAATGGCATCTCCATGCAAGAATAAACCTCTGGACTCAGTGCCTGCATGGTTCAGGCCATGAGAGAAGAGTCATGATCATCACACTTCCCCCGCACCCCCCACCTCTCTCTCCCCCCCCCCTCAACTGTCTGAGGCTGAACTGAACTGCTCACAACCCCCCCATCATATTTAACTTTGAAATGAGCTTCCAATCACATATCCATGCAGTCACTAAGACAACAAATTCCCATCTTGGTGACACTTGAGCCATGAAAAACTATGTTGATCACGTCCAAAGTTGCACCAAATCCCATCCGCCAGCTCCCCTCCGCTCACTGACTGATGCTGATCCTGGATTAAGCGGGATTTTAATTTTAAAATTCTCATCTTTGTTTCACAATTCCTCCTGTACCTGGCCTCTCCCTATTTCTAATCTCCACCCCACCCCCAATTCATCTAAAATATCTAAGCTCCTCTCATTTCAGCCTCATAAGCATCTCCCATTTTAATCGCTCCACCATTAGTGGCTGTGCCTTTAGTTGTTTTGGCCCTAAGCTTTGGAACTCACACCTGAACCTTGCCAGCTCAGTTTCCTCTTTTAAGACACTTCTTAAAGCTACCAAGCTTCTGGTCATCAGTCTGAATATTTCCATATGTGGCTGAGAGTCAAATTTTGCTCTATAACACCTCCGTGAAGCACTGTGGAAGATTTCATTCAGTTAAGGCACAATGGAAATTCACACTGCTGTCATTATCACCAACCCTGGTTATCCTGCACATTTATTCCTGCGGTTTTCTGATATTAATGCAAACGAATGACAACAAATGTACACAACAGTTATATAAGCAAGAAAATACCTCAGGGTGGTTTATAAGGTGGGGTGTCCAGGTATTTTATTCCAAATGAGCAACTTCTCTTGATATATCTCAAAGCGACCGTCATATCTGGAACACTATCTGCAGTTGGGCACCTTTAAGGGTATTTGTGCATTGATGTGAAGGGGCTACATCTCAAGTTACAATGAGAGAATGGTATACTCATTGGATAAAAGATAGATCACTTCTTTAAAATAACATTATAGATATCTAAACTGTCATTTTAGAGCTAGACAACTTCAGTAAATAAACAACTGAAGAGGTGGCTGCAGGACAATGCACATCCAGCAACCTGCTCTGAAAACCCGGCTCACATTTTGAGACATGGAAAATTTCATCACAGCAGCTGTTACAATCCATAACATTCAAAAGAAATTGACAATATTTCAAATTAAATTACTCACTCCATTCTAAAAAAAAAGGCGATTTGCCCCATCTCCCAACTTTAACAAATACTTTTTAAAAAATCCCAGGATCCAGATCCTTGCCAAAAACTAATTGTTCTACTTTGGGTCAACCTTTACCTGCGCACCAAGTTACATTAAAAATCACTCGTTAGCTTTTCAGATACACGGTTTAAAGATAATAGAGTAATAAACAATGGCAAAAATAGTACGCTGCCCACTTTCAGTAACGGAGATAAATATCAGCAAGCTGTAACGAAGGTTATAGGTTACAATCTTCCTGATGTTATAGTAGAGTGTAGAAAAGCCTCTATTAAACTCAATTTTATATGGTAGCATTTCATTCGGCAGATAACTTGGTTGAAGGGTAGTGCGTTAATCTACTGTGACATTCCAGTCTCTATCTTCTCTTTCGAAATCATCTGAATTGCAGTACAGTTGTTCATGTGAATACAATCTTACATCCCAATGAACGCTCAACAGTAATTCTGAAGGAAATCATTCAAATCCAGCTGCTGAAAACAAACCTCTTTTAATGAACTCCTCCTTCCCACCTCAAGTTTGATGCCTTCATTAACCTGAACATGAAGATGAAACTCAATTTTGATCAGTGTAACGTTGTGGGAGACATGGGGAGTTAAATAAAGAGTTACAGTTGGCCTTTGCAACAGCACAACTAACAAAATTATATTTTTATTCCATTTCTTCAAAAGACAATGCATAACTGCAGGCATGTCCAAATTGTAGCCAGTGGATAAAGAGACCCCCAATCTTGAACAATCCAACCTGCAAAGAGCCCACAGGACAGCTTCATTCGTGTCTATATTTTTTATTTGCTAGTTGATCTAGCTTAACACTTGTGAAACTGGAGCTTTGCACAATTGGTAGATGAACCCAATGCCTACAGTTCAGAATACATAGATACATAGGAATTAATGGCACACACCAAGCAACCCACAAAGAGACACAAACTCTTGACATGTCTGTATTAGCAATTAAAGCTAAAGTGGAGATTGTGTGGGTTTAAACACACGTCCCATCTGGTTTTCCAATCGCATTAACATGGAGACACAAAGCAGAGTGATATTTACCTGCTGGAGGTATTTGTCACAGTTGATGAACTCCCGCTCATGGGAGTCCTGCAGCTTGTGTGTCTTAATGTACTGCCAGAGAGCCTGGATAATGACAGGCCTAGTCTGAGTGTGGATGCCCAGCAGACGCGCCAATCGAGGATCCAGTTTAAACTGGGGTGGCTGCAAAGAAAATACAAATGCATTGTTACACGGACCCAGCAATGCCACCAACTAACCAGGCACCTGATCTAGCCGATGAATAGACTTTTGCAGGAGATTCTGCTTCGGTAAAGATAATATGTTTGCTGCCACCCTGAGGCAGCGCAGAGCTCTGCAGAGCAAGTTCTTTTCCCTCCCAAGAAATTCAACAAAATTCAAAATGCTTCAAACTAACAAATATGCCAAGATGAATTTGGGTTTGGCTGGTAGGGGTGGGGTGTCTGTCTTTCCATGGATGCTGCCAGATCTGCTGAGCTTTTCAGCAGCCAGAGTTGTAATGAGGCATACTTGATTAGGGAGCTTAAGGTGAAGTAACCCCTTAGGGGCAGTGACCATAAAATGGTAAAATCCACCCTGCAGTTTGAGAGGGAGAAGCTGAATGTAACAGTATTACAATTGAGTAAAGGTAATTACAAAGACATGAGGGAGGAGCTGGCCAGAGTTGATTGGAAGGGGAGCCTAGCAGGGAAGACAGTGGAGCAGCAATGGCAGGAGTTTCTGGGGTTATTTGGGAGGCCCAGCAGAAATCCATCCTAAGGAAGTAGAGCCATACTAAGGAGAGGAGGGGGCAACCATGACTGACCTTTAAATAGCAGCAGAGGATAACTAGAACAGCAATAAGTGGGTAGAAGATGAAATATGACAGTAAGCCAGCTAGTAATATGAAAAGAAGATTGCAAGAGTTCTTTTACATATCTAAAAGGTAAGAAAGAGGCAAGACTGGACATTGGACTGCTGGAAAATGAGGCTGGAGAAGTAGTAATGGGGAACAAAGAAACCACAGAAAACTGAATAGGTACTTGCATCAGTTTTCACAGTGGAAGAACCAGCAACATACCAGAACTTCAAGACAGGTGCAAAGGTGAGTGTAGTGGCCATCACTAAGGTGAAGGTGCTGGGGAAGCTGAATAGTGTAAAGGTGGATAAATCACCAAGACCAGATCAACTGCACCCCAGAGTTCTGAAGCAGATAGCTAAAGACATTGTAAAGGTATTGGTGATGATCCTTCAGGAACCACTGGAGTCAGGAACGGGAAAATGGCTAATATAACATCTCAGTTTAAGGAGGCAGGGAGGTAGAAGACCGGAAACTGAATTTGAATCATTTATTGTCATGTGTATTTAATAAAAAATACAGTTAAAAGTTTCAAACTGTAGGTTGGTTAGCCTGACCATGGTCGTTGGTAAGATTTGAGTGTCCATTATTAAGAATGAGTTTGCGGAGTACTTGGAAGTGCATGGTAAACCAGGGCTAAGTCAGCACAGCTTCGTCAAGGGGAAGTCATGCCTGACAAATCTGTTAGAATTCTTTGAGGAGCTAATGATCAAGTTAGACAAGGAGCCAGTGGACGTGATCTTTTTGGATTTCCAGAAGGTCTTTGACAAAGTGCTGCACAGGAGGCTGCTAAATAAGCTAGGAACCCACAGTGTTAAAGGTCCTGGCATGAATACAAGATTGGCTGACTGGCAGAGAGTAGGGATAACAGGGTCTTTTTCAGGATGGCAACCGGTGACTAGTGGAGTTCCACAAGATCCGTTTTGGTACATTTTACATTAACAATCGGGACAAAGGAACTGAGAGCAATGTTGCTAAGTTTGCAGATGACTCAAAAGATAGGTGGAGGGACAGGTAGTGTTAAGGAAGTGTGTAGGCTGCAGAAGGACTTGGAAAGGTTACGGAATTGGGCACAGAAGTGGCAGATGAAATACAAATGTGGGAAGGTGTGAGGTTATACACTTTGGTAGGGAGAATAGAGGTGTACACGAATTTCTAAAGGAGGAAAGGTTTTGAAAATCTGAAGCACAAAAGGACTGAGCAGTCCGAGCTGAGGATTCTCTTAAGGTTAACATGCAGGTTCAGTTGGTAGTTAGGAAGGCAAATGCAATGTCAGCTTTCATTTCAAGAGGGGTGGAATACAAAAGCAGGGATATACTGCTGAGGCTATATAAGCCTCTGGTCAGGCGTTTGGAATATTGAGAGCAGTTTTGGGCTTCGTATCTAAGGAAGGACGTGCTGGCCTTGGAGGTGAGCCAGAGGAGGAGTACGAGAATGATCCCGGGGATAAAGAGCTTGACACGAGGAACAATTGAGAACTCCAGGTCTGTACTAAATAGAGTTCAGAGGGGTGGGGTGGGGGGGCGCTCTCTCGTTGACACTTACAGAGTATGGAGAGGCCGGAATAGAGTGGACATAGAGATGATGTTTCCACAAGTAGGACAGACTAGGAGCTGAAGGCACAGCCTCAGAGTGAAGGAACGATTCTTTAGAACTGAAATGAGAAGGAATTTCTTCAAGCAGACGGTGACGAATCTGTAGAACTCATTGCCACAGCGGTCTGTGGACGCCAAGTCATTGAATGCCTTTAGGACAGAGATAGATAGGTTCTTGCTTGGTAAGGCGATCAAGGATTATGGGGAGAAGGCAGGAGAATGGGGTTGAGAAATGCATCAGCCATGATTGAATGGCGTAGCAGACTCGATGGGCTGAATAGCTCAACTCTGCTCCTGTATCTTATGATCCAGCATTTTCCGTTTCTATTTTGACAGATACCCAGCATCTGCAGTATTGTTTTTGATGCCAGAATTTAAGCCTAGTCACTCATGTAAACAAGTGGCAGAATAAATAAAGTGTTAAATCCATTCCTCGCATACAACATCTCTTGACCGCTTACTGCAAGTTGATCATTTCAGCAAAGGGGAGGATGCTGAAAGCCTGCAAGCAGAAGTTATCTATGTGCCACGTGCTGATTAGCCTGCGTGTTTATTCCCCACTCCCCCCCAAAAATGTTGGTAACGCTTTACAGATTCCTGCCCTTTATTTAGCTTTCTCAACTTTAATGATTAGCTGAAAGGAGCAGTGATAATGAGCAAGAGAACAGAGTTGTGAACTTCGCCCATCAGTCAATGAGGCACATTTGAAAGAGTGTTGATTGTCAACTCAGTCCAATAATAGACATCTTGAAGTATCCAGGAACTGTCAGAAGGGGCAAGATTACAAGTTAGTGTGCTGCTCCCTGACAACGCCCATCACAATCAACTAATTGTACTTTCTTTTTCTGTGAAGGTGCTTGTTTATTCTAAGGTCCCACAGGGACTTGGTGCCCTCTGATACTTTACCCAATTGGCCATTTGTTCATGACAGCTTAGATAATTATAGGCAGCAGGCTGTTTGACTGCAAACTCCATCAGAGAAGGGAAAATTCCTGCTTTCCCTCGATATCCCACAATTCTCAGTAAGAGTCACTGAAGAGCTACCCAGAGACCTGCAGCCATGGCTACTGTTTCGCTTACAAGAGCAAGGGCAACTCCACTGCCACCTCAGCTGGAATCCACTAAACCCAATACAGACCAGGGCTCAAACCAAGATATTTTATACTCCACATGCTTCAGCTCCTCAATGCTTTTAACCAACAGAGCCATTGGGTACTCAAATGATGTTTTTGTTAAAATACTTTATATACCTTTACCAGCTTGAGCTATGTAATTCCATTATATTACTTGTAAAATTAATAGGTCTAGAACTAATAAATACTTTTTAATTCATCTCGTACTCAAATTATTTTGCTTACCTGGTAATCTAGCATCAGTAATACGGTGCAGCGCACATTCACATCTCCTGGTCTTTTCACCTGGAAGCCATCAGTCTCTTGAGTTGTGGCTGTCCTATGCCACTGAATGGAGTTAATGAAAAACAGTTATCATTTTGTTTAACTAAAAGCGACACATTCTTTCAGCCACTGCATCAGCAGGATTCTTCAGAGCTCTATCAGGCATGCATCATGCTGTCATTCACAGCCAATGTCACTGCATAAGATAATATCCTGTCTAACTAAGAATATGCTCCACTGCCAGTATACTTGCAGTGTTTGTACAATTGGTTCCACCTTTAATGATTCAAGGACCTTTCACTCCCTGAGCGATATTTAGTGCCACTGTTAACCCAAAGGGGAAGTACACCAGCCAACCAGAAAGCCTTTACTGGCATCCAACAGCCCTCATTCAGCATCTGTCGCAGGGAAAGGACAAATTACAGGATCCACACAAGCCCTTCCCATGACATATATTACAGGGACATGTGAGGCAAGAAGAAGTTCAAACTGATGTGGCCTCCAAGAAGCTGCCATGTTACTGCAGACAGAAAACACAAAATTTCAGCATGAAGGAGGAAGCAAGAAGCAAGTAAGATGGCATGCAGCTGAACTTAATGGTTCCAGTGCACAGTACTCCATTCTGCTTACCTCAACCAGGTGGTTGTCAGGTCCATAGAGATCTTTATCTAGTTCAATCACAAGGGATTTGAAGAATGAGGAAAACTTCCGCTTCTGTTTAGTAGCATCATACTTCGATACAGCTGACTACAAAGGAAAAAAAATTCATAAGCAGTTCAATACAGAACAGATGATTAAGTGAAATTGAAAATAACAACGCCCTTGCAGAGTTTTACCATTTATTGAGCATCACCCTTCAATCTCTCCCCCACAACAGTTTTCTCATTGTTTGCCATATGCCCTTTGTAGTCGCACGTAAAGAGAGGTGATCGCAATTCAATTGACACTTAACCCTCTAATCTTCCTCCTCCACATTCCCCCACTGTGTCTGGCTTCTGTGCAGGGGCTTTGCACAGCAGGTCAAGCAGCAATCAAAATTAAATGGAACTTGGACACAAAACTCCAAGCAGATCAAAGCAAAATCTTGGCAACAGTCGTAAAAGCGACCTGACCATCTTATTCACACACCAGCTTAGTGATCTTGGCTAGGATATCAGGGAGAAATTACGCAAAGGCTTAACTTAAAAGCATCTGCGGTGAAAAGGGGGAGAAAGGTAAATCTAAAATCTTACGTCTTCAAGAAGCCTGCCTTCCACTCGAAGCTCCCAGGATGCCACAGTTCCTTCGCCATCTTCTGCATCTGGTTTTGCAGGGTTGAACGTATTAGAAATAAATATACGAAGCTTTCGCTTTTGCTGAAAAGAAACAAGGGGGTGTTTAGGAATCAAGTACTTTTTTCTCCTCCATTATGCAGGAATACCATTGTATTGAAGGGGCTCTAAATCAGGTGACTGAGGAATCTAACCAGACAGTAAAGGAATGCAGCTTCTTGCAGTATCTGCATTGCTTTAAAAGTAGTGCACTTGAAATACTCTTTTGTCTGGTTACGTTTTGTATTCCTGCCCTCTAGAGGGGAACAGTTCCATTGATATGGGCAATTGTACTGCACCTCACGCAAATGTTTATTCTCAATAAGCAAGTCTGGATGGCAAGTGCTAGTGTCACGGTAAACTGCGAAAAACTCATAAGCCTAGCCACAGTTAACATTCCAGCATGCATCATGTCAGCCGATTAATTTCTTTCCTTGCCTCTTCCCAATTGCACAGAAATCAATTTGAACACTGGAGATCAGTTAACATAGCAAGTAACATAGAAACTGAAGTAGGCCATTCAGTCCCTACCTTGGATACATAACCCTCAATGCCCCTGCCTAAGATAAATCTAGTAATCTGTTTTTAAAACTTATTAAGCTAGTCTTAAGAGCTTTTTACGGTCACAATGTTCTGCATGTATGATTTAGAGACTTGTTGGGCTGCAATGATCCAGCATCACACTCCCCAACATATTCATTCACAAGTCGGAGGAACATGGCACATGGAACATGGAACATTCCAAGTACGTCAACAATTTTGGGGTCTCTTACAAAGCAGTCGGGAGGAGTGGGAAAACCTTTGCTGCTAATTGTGTGTTTGGGCTCTCAGAAGGAGATACAATTTATCATTCATCTACTTCAAGCCGTCCTAACAGTGGCCATGGTGAAGATGGATAAAGTACTGCTGAATTAACATCGAGGGCATGAATCTAGCAGTATGCTAACGCAGGCAGATCAATTTGTGGCTGGCATGTAAATGTTGTCCCAATGTAAAGCAACATCAAGGTCAAGGAACAGAGCCAGAATAGAGCTCTAAGGGACAGAGATGCTGGCAAAGCCAGCATTTGGTGCCCACCCCTAATTGCCCTTGAACTGAGTGGCTTGGTCAGCAATTTCAGAGGGCAGATAAGAGTCAACCATGGGTCTGGAGTCACATGGAGGTTAGACTGGGCAAGGATGACAGATTTCCTTTCCTAAAGGACATTAGTCAAAAACTCTAATAGCTTCATGGGCACCATTAATCAGACAAGCTTTTCAGTCCAGATTTTCATTAATTGAATTTAAATTTCACTAGCTGCCATGGTGGGATTTGAATCCAGGTCCCAAGGGTATTGGCCTGGGCCTCTGGGTCATGAGCCCAGTTAGATTGCCATTACACCACTATCTCCCTCCAACATTCTACGTTTTATAGAAAGACTGCACATCCATTTTTTATTCCAGCTTCCATCACTTGGGCCTGTAGCCCTGTAGGTTACAACACCTCAAATGTAAATCTAAGTGTTGTTTTTAATGGGATGGGGTCTTCTACCTCTCTCTCACCACAAAGCACAAGTTCCAAGCCTCTATCAGGCTCTGGTTAAACTATTACTCAACTCCCCTCTAAACCATACACAAATTACTTTAAATCTATGCCCTTGTGTTGTTCGTCTCTCTGAAAGGGAAAAATGGCCCTTGGCACAGACACTATCTTGGTCTGTCAATTTGATACACCTCAATTAAATTTCCACAAAGCCTCACTTCATTTCCAGGAAAACAACTGCAGCTTATTCAATCCTTTCTCAACGCTAAACTTCACCGTTTCTGGCAACATCCTCCTAAATCTCCTGTATCCTCTCTATTGCGAACTCATCCTTCCCGGACTGCACTGACCCGGTCTGTGCATAATTGTCAGCTGGTGTTCTACCATAACCCCTTGTGCTCATTCACACATTGGCTGAGGCCTAGAGAAAGTCTTCTGGACAACATCAGTGACCTGTCCTACTACTTCGCTCTGAAGAGTTTCAAAGACTCTCATTCCATTCTCAAACAACTTAGCACCAGCTCTCGATGTTTGTTTAAAAGTGTTAGCCTGATTTCTGAAAGATTAGGTTTTAGTGAGTCAAAGTACAGATAAGTAACAAATAATCAAGGTAATCCGACAGGTTTTACCTTTATTGGTCTTTTCAATGCTTCCTGGATGTCCAGGCGCTTCCTCATTATAGTCTGGTCCAACTTCCTCTCAAATGCCAGCAAATCCATGTAGGCTTGAGACTCTGGCACAAGTTCCCGAATCTATAACAAAATGCACATACTGTACCACAATACTCATCAGTGCATGATCCCACCTTCCACCTGCCTACAGCTTTTGACATGGTTGACCATACACACCTCTTGTCTAGTTCACTGGGACTGACCTTGCCTGGTACCACACTTATCTGTTCAGGCATAGTTACAGAATCTCCTGCAATGAGGAAAAGGGCCCTGCTGACACCCAGTTCAACCCCTCCACTGTCCATCGTTGCTGCACTCTCAAACTGCTTGCCCAACATCCAGTTTCTCATAAATCAGAATTTCCTCCAGTTAAATAGTTGGAATGATGAAAGGATTGCCTTCATCAGCTGCCAAAAGCTCTGTACCAGAGTTACTGATTCCACTCCATTCTCCTCAGCAACTGTTGCAAGCTGAACCACAATGTTCTGAATTGGATTTGAACCCAGATTCCAGTAGGAAGAGTCCACATCACTGACAGGTGCCTCGGCACATCAATCCTGAACCAAAAACTTTTCCTCCCCAAGGCCCGAGTAGTCACTTCATACATGCTAATTAGATAAAGATCTGCTATCGCTTCACCTAGCTTGCCTTCAAGTTATTTCTTCCCCCAAAATCACCCTTTTCTTTAAAAAATTCAAAGTTTTTGGATTAAGTACCACCGGTAAAAAGCAGGGTGTAGGAAATCCTTTAACAACAAAAAGATTAAGGATGCACTTACCCTCTGAGGTAGAATTTTATCGGCCATCTTCTTCTTCTTTGCACTATTCAAATGAAAGAATAAACTTGTTACCCTGACAACTTACTTTCCAAAATCAGACACTCCAAAATGAAGTCAGTTTCGTGTCCAGGTAGATGAAACTGGCCATTAGCAGTACGAGGAACCGTAACGGGATACCTGACAGAAACGGACGCTTAAACACTCAAGACAACAAGTACAGAAACATGAGTTTTGGTCGCAGAAAGCCATGCAAATTCATCTCAAAACCGATCAAGTATCGGATCAAAATGAGATCACGCAATCATCCTAATTATTGCGAAGGGAAAGCATGAAGAACTTGATTGTCAATGGACTTTTAATGTTTATAAAAGCATTTTCCTTTCTAATTAGCTCCCATCTACCATAAAGACACCACCCCCTGCTGCATCCTCCTTTCCCTTAGTCATTGGCAGTCGCGCCTTCTGCCTTTTAGCCTAAGGTGCCATAGCGCCCAAAAGAAACAAAACTCTCAACGAACCATTACTGGAGCTAAAAGACGTAGACAGCTACCCACGGCCTTGCTCAAGTGGCTATATTTCATGTGAGACTCAAGGCAATGACTGTCACCAGGTTACTTGATGACATGGGGAGTAGATATTATAGCAAAGTTGAATCCTAACATATCTGTGCATTTCAGTAAGGCATTGGACCATGATCAGAGAAAGTATCCCAGGAGTATAATCGTGGTGCGTAGTTCCCAAAATACTGCCCCAGCTAAAATCAACATGCATGTCCGTGCTCAGTGTGGCCAATTACCGACGAATAAATTGCATCAAAACTATGACATCTGATTAAAAAGAAAGTAAAAAATTGTACATTGTTTACTCAACTAGTGATGCATTTATCCACTAAGCCACCTGGGTCATTTCTAATGCTGGCTTTTCAGTGCTAACAGATGGTCAAAACAAGTATGGTCAAATAACTGAAACACCTGCATAGATGATATTAGGTGTGCAGTATTGCAAAAGTATGAAAGATAAATGATTTTATTATTTGAAAGAGGTCATTGTGTCACTGCTAAGACAGGCTAGTGGGATCAAAACGTTCAGCAATTACAGGGTGCTATAATGTTTTACACTTGAGAGAAAGGTGTTGTAAAAAATCAGTTAGCCTCCCCCGCTGAGCTCTACCTAGGTGTACATGAATGGATGGTGAGTACAGGCTGAACTGCCTATGCCTAGTTTAGTGGTGATGCCTTTCACAGGGGAATAGCAAGCCAATGCTTCCTGAACTTAATGAAGCTGGTGGCAAAGGTGGCAGGGTAACACTTAAGAAATGAAATGGGGCCTGTTGAGAGAGATGAAAAAGTCTTGGATGATGTTGAACCCATTTGGGTGGAAGTAAGGGAAAGCAAGGGAAAGAAAGAGTGGTGTACAGACCCCCAAACAGTAGCCACTCTGTGGGAAAGGCTAAAAATCAATAAAAACAAGATCATATAAAAAGAATACAGCAACAATTATGGGTGACTAATTTTTATGTCGATTGAATTAATCAAATCAGAAATGGCAGCTATGACAATTAATTCATAGATCGCATTTGGGGATAGTTTCCTAGAGCAGTGCGCCATGGAACCAACTAGGGAGCAAGCTATCTTGAATTTGGTAATGGGTAATGGGTAATGAGGCAGATTTAATAAATGACTGAGTAAAGGATCACCTAGGAAGTAGTGATCATAACATGACAGTACTTAATATTCCGTTCCAGAGTGAGAAACTTGGGTCAGAAACAAGTGTGTTTAACTTAAATAAAGGGAATTTATAACAAAATGAGGATTGAGTCAGCTAAAGTTAACTGGGCCAATCAATTAGCAAGAATGACAGTAAGCAAGCAGTGGTAGACATTTAAGGAGGTAATTCATGACTCTCAGCAAAAATACTTTCCAGTTAAGGAGGAAAAATTCCAAGAGAAGGATAAACCAACCACAGCTAACCAAGGAAGTTAAGGAGAGTATTAAGTTGAAAAAAAAACTTCATAAGGAGACCAAAATCAGCGATAGCCCTGAAGACCAGGATAAATTCAGAATCTAAATCTCACCTAATTCAGGACTAAAAAGATAACAGACAGAGAAAATAAACACGGAATATAAAAACTGACAAAAAAAGTTACTTTAAATACATAAAAAGGAAGAGAGTAGTTAAAGTGAACATCAACCCTTTAGAAAATGAAGTTGGGGAGACAGTTTTGAGGAACAAGGAAATAGCAGAGGAGTCAAACAGATATTTTGTATCAGTTTTTATGGCAGAAGATACTTCAAACATTCCATCAATACTAAAGAATACAGGGGAGTAATTAAGTACCATCGCCAAAGAAGTTAAAGGCAAGTAAGTCCCCTGGCCCTGATGGCTTGAATCCTAGGATCCTAAAACAGGTAACTAGAGATTGTGGATGCATTGGCTGTGATTTTCCAGAAATTGTTGAATTCTGGAGAAGTACCAGAGGATTGGAAAATTGCTGATGTGACACCTCTGTTCAAAAAAGGAGGCAGGCAAAAAGCAGGTAACAATGGGCCAATTAGTCCAACATCTATTTTTAGAAAAGTATCAGAATCAATTATTACCGAAGTAATAGGATATTTGGAAAATCATAATCGAATCAAGCAGAGTCAGTCTGGCTTCATGAAAGGGAAATTGTGTCTGACTAATTTATTCAGATTTTTCAAGGAAGTCTCAACCAGAGTGGATAGAGGGGAACCAGTGGATGCGTTGTATTTGGACTTCCTAAAAGCATTCAACAAGGTACCTCACAAAAGGTTAGATCATAAAGATAAGAGCCTACTGTTTTGGAGGAAGTATAGGGTCATGGGCAAGAAACAGGGAGTGGGGGTAAGGGGGTTCTTTTACAGACTGCCAATCTGTAACCAGTAATGTTCCACAGAGATCAGTGCTGGAAGCGCTACTGTTTACAATATTAATGAATGAACTGGTAAAAGGAAGTGAATATACTGTAGCTAAATTTGCAGATGACACAAATAGATGGAAAGGTAGGTTTGAGAGGGATACAGTTTACAGGGAGATAGTGATAGGTTAAGTAAGTGGGCAAAAAGTTGGCAAATAGAATATAATGTGAGAAAATGCAAACTAGTTCAATTTGGAAGGAAGAACAGAATATTATTCAAATACAGACAAACTGCAGAAAGCCACAATACAAAGGAACTTTGGGGGGGAACTTGCGCACGAAACACACAAAGCTAGCACACAGGGGGGCAGCAGGTAATCAGGGAGGCTCATGGAATGTTGGCCCTTATTTCAAGGGGGTTGGAATGTAAGAGTGAGGAAGTCTTCCTGTAACTGTACAAGGTGCTGGTGAGACCACATCTGGAGTACTGTAAACAGTTTTGGTCCCCGTATTTGAGGGGATATATCATTTAATTGGTGGTAGTTCAGAGAAGGTTCAAGCAGGATGACACTCAATATGGAGGGACCACCCTATGAGCAAAGGCTAAACAGGTTGGAACGCTACCTATTGGAATGTAGAAGAATAAGAGGTGATTTCATTGAAACATATAGGATCCTTAAGGGGTTTGACAGAGTAAATGCTGAGAAGATGTTTCCCCTCACAAGAAAGTCTAGGATCAGAGGGCATAGCCTCAGAATAGAGGGGTGCCAATTTAAGACTGAGATGAGGAGGGATTTCTGCTGACGGTTGAGTGTGTTTGGAACTCCTTGCCCCGTGGGGGCAGAGCCTTTATGTATATTTAAGGCTGAGATAGATTCTTGATCAGTAGGGGAATTAAGGGTTATGGGGAAAGGGCAGGAAAGTGGACTTGAGAAATGTTGAATCAGAGATAGGAGGAACTGCAGATGCTGGAGAATCCGAGACAACATGGTGCAGGGCTGGATGAACACAGCAGGCCAAGCAGCATCATAGGAGCAGAGAGGCTGACGTTTCGGGCCGAGACCCTTCATCAGAAAAGGGGGAGGGGAAGGGGGTTCTGAAATATTCTCTTTCAATTCCTCCCACTTCCTACAGACAAAGGGGGTAGCCATGGGTACCCGCATGGG